TTTTTCCAGTGTTGGGACAGAAATATTATGGAGTTTTACTCTTTCAAGCAAGAAAGTACAAACTTTCATCAAAAGTGTCTTAGGGGTGTCCTGAGAGGACATTGGCCCGGAGGATAAGAACTTATGAAGAGACTATATATCAACACCACCATTACGAGAGGACGCTAGAGATGGATTGGTCATACACAATCAAACAAAGGATAAGAGGAACACAGCTCGTCACACGATGGGCTACAACCCGCAAAGACTCGCAAAGCGCACGAAAATGTAACAGACCCAGGATTACGTTGCTGAGGAGTATCTGGAAGGTCCTGAGAGAGTTTAACATGACACGGTGCGAGGCCAAAAAAAGACTCAAGATCAGTACAAATGCAAGGCATACAGGCGCCCCTATGTCACCCATGGGACAAAGAGGATAGATCAGTGAGACGACCTTGATTGTCGTTGAATTCTTCTGGTTTTAAATATTTCTAGACCCCAATAACATCCCAGTTGTGCTGATGAAACTTGCAAACTTTTTACCTCGGATACTTGAGTTACAAAATTAAAGGAACTCATCTGTGCAAGCCTTTATGTAAAATGTCTCTGCTGTATAATTCTAAGTACGCCTAGAAGAATTTCCGGGAACGTGATCTTAAAAAAATAATAATATTTAAAGACGTCGATGGTAATGCATTAACGCGACAGATAAACTTGCCAAAAGTTAAAACACTTTTTTAAGTGGTGCTCACGGTGATTGCTGTTCAGTGGTGATGGTGTTGTTGTTGTTGTTTTTGTTGTTGTTGTTGTTGTTGTTGCATTAGTTGATTTCACTATTAGTTCTTTTCGTAGCAAAATTGATACTCACACGTCACTTTTGATGGTAAAAACACCGTCATGAATGGATTCCGGGGCCATCCATTTCACAGGAAGCTTTTTCGTCTTTTTGGCGGTGTAAACGTCTTCATAGATTTGACGCATCAACCCAAAGTCCGATACTTTGACCCGATTATCATGACCAACCAGAATATTACGGGCTGCAAGATCACGATGAACAAAGTCTTTCTCTGCGAGATGATTCTGTTAAGACGAACAAATGAAAATGTATCGAATTAGAAAATGGACCACAAAGAATCAAGGCTCTTCTATTGGTTTCTTAAGCACTGTCAGCTTAGAACTCAATATGAAGCTGGTAAATTTGCTTTAATTGGAACTATTTAAGTCTACTCTCTTTGGCGCAGCAAGCACAAAAAATTGAATGCAAAAATTACCGCGCGGAAACTCGAAGGAGAATGAGCGATAGAGAAGAGACTATTGAGAAAACCAGGAAGCAGACATCTCTGTCATTTCTTTTGAGCTATATCTGACAAACAGCTGGCTCCAAAATACAGCCAATTCCGTTTATGAAGTTAAGAGTTTCACTGTAAATATCGCTTAGTTGAGCTAATGTCTCCAGATATATATTGGAGCTTGTAATAAACGTTACCATTCCCCGTGCTATTTGCCAAGCAAACGAAAACAGCTGTTGCGTAGTAAAACTGCCATCTTCTCCATGTCCAGCAATAAGATTCTGGGCTGAAAACACGTCAGCAGTTTGTTTGTTTGCCTGTGATGTCGACCGTATCGCTGACAGCTTGATGTTTTCCTGGTCCAGGTAACTCTTGCTCTTTTCCTGAACAAATACAAACAACAATAACAAAAAAGAAAAATCATGAGAATATCTGTCTACGACAATTCGAGACAATTAATGTTATGCAATGTAAGAAAAGTAATTAAAATCAGCCAAGACCTTATTTTAAAAGGGTTGATTATAACCCAAATAATAATATACATGAAAACATTTCTCGATTCTGATTGGTTGAGAGCAGTGCCGTTCATGTGTAACACCAATGTGAAGTACACATCGTAATTCTGAATTATGATTGGCTGAAAGACAATAGGAAATTTTCTAAGCCAATCATATCACGTAAAATGATGACGAAAAGTTTGCACGGAAACTTTCTCGAATGCTAAAAAAATGGCTTCAAGAAAGATCTTCCGGCACATGTGAGTTTTCGTTTTTTCGAAAAACTCATCCAGCAAATTAATTCCAAATGATTACCTATACTGCTTTATTATATGGCTAGCTCCGTGAGCAGGCAAGATGAATCAAATCCTGCGCTGTGATTGGCTACCCGAGCGGGCAAGATAGAGTTATCTTGTCCGCTCGGGACTACCCTCCGTGTCGTCCCGCAAGAAAACTTTCCCCGAAAGCCGTGTAATACATCCTTTATTGACCAAGCTTGTTCGGACCTCGACTCCATCTCGGTCCATAAACACGCAAAAAAAGAAGTTGGCCAGTATCCAGCCATCTTGACCTCACACTTGATCAAAAACCTATACATATTACGTATATATTTGTTTGTCTAATTTTTGCTTAGATCCAAACCTTGTGTGGTGCAAAGCAAACAACACGTATGTGAAGATGTCCCGAACACATGATGTACGAATACAAACAATGTAAAATTGGTAGGATTCACCTTTCCATTTAATTTTATTCCTTTTATCTGTTTTTATCTTTCACCGCCGGCTGGTGTTTTGTTTCCTCTATGACTAGTAGAAATATAACATAGAAACAGAGAAAACTTCCTCTTACTTCAAAATTGTTATCGGATGAGCCAGTCATATCAAGGATGAGATCGTCAGGGTTATGTGTAGGGGCTGCATCCCGGGCTGAATCCATCTGGACTGAGGTTTGTTTGGTTATGATGTGATAACGTGGACCGTCTTCTATCCTTTTCGGAACAACTGCGGTTTCCTGATTGAAGTAAAATATAGATTTCTAGCAAAACAACACTTTTTTCTCCTTCTTTTTAATGGGAAATAATTAAGATCGGTTGGGATTCATTCCCAAGGACTTCCCACGTTTTTGAAGTGTTGCCCCTCCATCCCATTATTCTGGCAACAACAGATGCATCTGACACATTCAACAACTGATATCCCGGATATTTCCTGATAATACTGTAAAGGTTTCTCTTCCTTTTGCCGCACGGACTCGATACCTGTTAGCATAAAAAAATTATTTACACTGCTGTCGTTTTAATCACATCAAATAAATTGCTACAAGCCTTTTAAGAACTATTAATTCCAACATAGGCCGAGTGCAAAGGATAGAAACATGTTGGATTTTGTATATATACCTTGCCTACTTTGGCCGCACCGTGAAAAGTCACGTCAGGCATGTCAAAATCAAAGCCTTTGTTTTCGTGAGTTGAGGGAGACTCTATTTGCACTGATGTATTGCCTGTCACAGTCTGATCTTCTTCCAGGACCTTGTCTAAATTATTTTCACGGCGTTGCTGTAAGAGAAAATGACCATTTCATCTTGCTAGTTAAAAGCATATCCCGCTGGTTAACGTATGTATTTCAGCAGGTCCAATCATCTCTCCGTGGAGTCAAATGCAGGTCAATAACCACGTCTATTGTCACGACAATTCATCAGTCTCCCATGCGGGTATTTGCAATTTTTCACGTCAACAATCGAGTATATATTATTGAATATCTAATCTCTTACCATAATGTACTGAGGCTTGATATGCATTTTTTAATTTAATTAATGACTGAAGACCTCCATACAAAAGCTCAGTAAGTATTGCTTCGAGTTTCTGAATGTTCTTTACCTTAGAGAGTGTCCTTAAGGAATGGTGACCTCTCCGCAATCAAAGAAAGTTGCTAAGATTGGTGTGAATTTTAACACAATTACATTAATTTTTGAAATTTATGGACTGATTAAATCCAACAAGAAATAGCTGTTTTAGAGCCAGTAATACAAATATACTGTCTGCCAATTTTTAGATCCATAGTGTACTTATATTCAGATTTTAAGAAGGATTTTTAATTGCAGAGTATGAATGCATGGCGCGCTATTACAGAGAATGCTTGAGTACGTCGCACATAACTTGTACTGCCGGATCTCTCATCTAATACTACTCCAAACCAAGCGCAAAATTATAGCTTAATACCAGCCATAAATGGATACTTTACACCAAATTTGAGATCAACTTTAACTTTTGTTTGTTAAAGTAATTTTGTAGAAGCAGTAGTAGTAGTACTGTACCTGTAAGTTGTATTATTTTCAGCGAAGGTCTAATATTCGAGCTGTACGAATTATGTAATCATGGAATTAATTATTGATTTTTATTTATTTTATACCTTGTTTGCAGTGTAATTATATTCTATTTGAATATATGATTAATTGATATATGCTAGTTCAGTCTATTAATGTGAGTAAATTACTCGAGAAAGTTTGCCCCGTGGTCTTTCGATATTTTCTTTGTCATCATACTGTTTCTCCTTCGTTCCAGTGGCCCAGTTCGGATTAATCTAGAATATAACAAGATTGTTATGTATTAGTAAGCAGTAGCCATGCAGTCAAGTCATTGATCAGAGAGTTCTTCACGAAGTGGAGCGGGAGAAATAGAGAAAATGGAGGAGCCTCCCCTCCGTCCTCTCCCTCTCCCTGCTACGTATTTTCAGAATGTTGAAAACAGGATTTACCGGTTTCAATCTGCTATGACATTTCATTGGTCAAAAACTTGATGTTTCCATGACATCCATATTTTGACAGACAGTTTTCGCAAATTTTGAATTTTATTGCTTTTGATGAAAAACAGTTACTATTCATGCCCCAACTTTTACCTTTTTAGTTATTTTTAGAAAGCTTTATCGGTTGTGCTTATTTTTGGGCCATTTTTCGGCGGATTTCGAAAGTATTACAAAAATCTTAAAATTCAGGATTGCGGATAAAGGTAACGTCATAAATTGCCCATTTATTTAATAATAATAGTTTTCTGAATCTTCCAAGGTTCATTACCATAGCTTATGCTCTAAAAGTTGCAGGGTTCGAACCCCAAAAGTCCTCCCACCCCCAACCCCCTCTGTACCAGCAGACCAAACACGCCCGGTGTACGGTACAAATTGTAGTCAACAACCTCCTACCGAATTTCTCTTGCGTCGTAACCATTGCAACAAGTCCCCAAACGGAACGTACTCTATCACCAGGAACCTGTGATCCTGTAGTGTGCAACATCCAACCAGGGACAAAATATTTTGGTGTGCACCCAACACCTTCATCATGGCTATCTCAAACAAGAACTCTTCTTTTTGTACTTCACTTGGATCATCTGACAACAATAACAAGGAAGTTATGGGGAAAATTGGGGTGTGAGTCTGGGCGAATTTTAACTTGGCTACCGAGTACAAATGCTAATTCAGTCGATTTTTTTCTGATTGTCTGTACCCCATGTGTTTTGCTCGAATAGACAGATTCGACTAACGTGTTTTCATCCTTGTTGCCACCCAATTCAGACGGCGTGATGGTTCATTTAGAAGGTTACAATTGTGCAATTTGCAACACAAAACTGATAGCATGGGATTATTGACAAAAAGAACAATTATAACCTCGCAAATGAATCATCATAAGATCTGAACTGGGTGGCAACAAGGATATAAACACGTCAGCAGAATCTGTCTATTCGAGATGTAGTTGTTTAGCAGAACCAAATGTGGACTATATGCGAAAAAGAAATATATTTCCCATTTCAGCTGATACAAACCAGTTCATTCTCTCCCTTTGAAGGCTGTGTCCTAACATTCTATGCGATTTCTAAACTCTTCAAAACCCATCCCATAATAGCCAATCACAGCTCGACAAGAATCGTACATTTTATAGAATAACATTTCAACATCTTGGTTCTCCGCTGTGATCTCCCGATGAGAATATAATGATTACAAAAACATTGCACCTTGTAATTCTTTCACTGCGACCACCTGTGTATCTTGTGACGCGGGTTCATCTCTGCTGTCAAACACTTCTATTCCTTGTCGCTTCTTCAGAATTGCTTTGTAGACAACACCAAACGCTCCTCTGCCCAGCTCTTCTTCGTATTCTATTTGCCCGGGAAGAATCTCCCATTTGTCTAACGGAATAATTTCACGTCTTGGCCGAGAAGACCTTCAATACAGAGAAAGATGGTTAATACAGTTGTCTTGACAATAAAGCATAGTTTTAATTTTGAATTCTCAACATTTCTGTTACCAGTACATATAAAACAGAAACAGAGAAAGTAATGTTTGACCCTGAGTTTGACAAGGTGAGCTATGAGGTTGCTTTCAGCTTAAAAAGAGGGGCTTTCTTTTACATCAACTATGACGGATTTTGTACTGTGTAACCGGTTTATGCTAGGGGCCATCACTGTCACAAATCGGTGAAGTGCTGCTTCTTCTGCTTCATTCTGTGTAGAACTGAGCTGAAGATTGACAGTGATAACTATCTTTCAATTGATAGTCTGTCACATTGAAAAACGATTAAAATTCAAAGCACATCAGGAAAAAAAAGTCGAAAACAGACGTTGGTTCGAGCGCGGATCGTGACATGTGCTTGATTCGGGCCCGAGGTTGACTCATGCTATGATAGAGCTCAGCTATAAGAGGTAAACCTTTCCATCCGCTCGCGATTGTACTTCCTATAGCACCAAAAGGCGACCATGAAACACATCACGAGCAAGATAAAGGCGACACCGAATGATATGTAGGCAATGGTGACAGTGGAAGTCCTATTTTGGTCCGTTGGTACAAGCTCTTTGCTCTCTGAAAAAATAATATAAAGAAGGCTATGAGTGGAAAATCAGTTAACATGACGTTGACGTTTACAATTTACATGACGTTGCCATGGTGACTGCCATGGTCGAGCATGGTTGCACTTGCACCGATCCTGATTTGCCACTCCAAAATAACTGAATTTTAAAACTACCCTAAGTGGCAAAACCATAGCTATAAAGAAACAAAAGAGACTGACAGACCTGAGAGGTATAAAAAATTCATATTCTTAAAAATGTTGCTACCTTCATTGCATAGATTTTGGCGACAGCATCGAACTTCACATTCCCAACTGGTAGAGCTGCATTCATCGAAAAGTTTGGAAGTGCTGTTACAATAGTGATTATTGGTACATCCATGCCTAATGCGCTTGGAAACACTGGATCCATCTTGTGAGGTCTGCTGCATCGAAGCATAATAACAACGATCATCCATGGAACCTTTACACTTGACTTCTTGCTGATGTTTTTGACACGCCTCATGAGAGACCGTGCTACTGCATTCAAAACAACTGAGACCCGATTCTGGGGAAACAGAACAAGTTGGTTCATTAACTGAAATTCAAAGAAAAAAAGCCCTTTTTGATAAACCCTTGTTCAAGTTTTGGAAATTTACAATTGAATTTAAACCAGAGATAGAGATGGTCGTATAGATAAAAATCAGTTTCTCATAACTTGCCTTTGTTACACATGTCACCAGTGCAGCATTCTGCAAATGGTCCCTTGGCAAATTCTGTGCATTCATCAATTGTGGCGCATCCTTTATGGTATGTTACAGTTTTGTTGTCCTCCTTGGTGCCATATGTGGTTTTAACACAGCGGTTCTTTGGTAATGTGCAGTTCACTCTTTTTTGGTTCTTAGCACAGTCGGCAAAGGATATGTTACTCGAACACTGATAACAAGAGATGTCTGCAAAAAAACGCTGTTATATTAACTTTCAGCTACTTATGAAGTTATTTCGAAGCGCAAACATGTGGGCACCAAGACGTAGGCATGGTCCCTCTCCCGCGCGTATTAAACGCGAACACACAAGCCCGGAAACCACGCGCACACAAACTGACGTATAAACTCACATCATTTTGACAAGTACATAAACAAAAGTCTGGATTACCAGTATTGCAAAGGTCATCTTCACAGCATTCCAGAGAATGATTCCCCTTTTTTCTGCATTGATCTGCTGATGTACAGTCTTTGGAAAAAACTGTCTCTTGATCGATATTTCCTCCTGTTGTATTCTTTTGTTTGAAACAGTAGTTCCGAGGGAATGCACAATTGACTGTCTCTTGTTTCGTTGAACATTTGGCAAATGATGTGCTGCTTTCACACTGATAACAAGAAATGCCTGACAAAATAAGAACAATTTTTAACACGGTTACGAATGATCTTTAACTTCGAGAGTTAAAAGCACAAACCCTTCAGTAATAGTTATTTGCCATGTGAAGTTTGATTAAAACCGTTGATCCATATTAGTCGTATTGTTTTCATCTTTCATCTTTGGCCAAATTAACCTTCTGTAGCCTCATAATTTTGTTCATCGCGACAAAAAATCACAGTCTCAACGTTGTGCATTCGGACAGACTGAAGCCTTATCCGGGTTAATCACTCCAACGTACCCAAGCTCCACCCAGTGAAGCCGCAATCTCATAGAGTGCTGCGGTTCCGAACCAGTAGTGTTCATGATCTTGTAACCTCGTCGTTAAATGGTGGAGAATCAAGCAAACACCCTTAGCGTCAGTGGAGTATTTAACTGTGCTGATTTGATATGTATATCTTGCTTTTGAAATCAGAAGCTTTTTCTATTTGATTTGCTTTGCTTTACTTTATTGAAATTTGATTTTCCAGAAAAAAAATTTTCTTACATTATAGCTTGCACATACCATCAAGAGGTTTCTCGCAGATGTAAAGATACGGATAAGGACAGTAATCATCATTCCACAAACCAAAATATTCTTTAGCCCCCACCGTAACACAGTGCTGCCTGCCATTACCACCGTTGTTAGGCTGTCCAGGTTCCCAATTGCTAAAATTTACGGTACTGTTATCCACTTCCCATGTAAATCTCCCTTCGTGTTCGATGTCACTCAGGCCTATCCACACTTGCTATGAACAAGAACAAATGCCAGTGCACAATACATCACATTAATTTTGGGCCAAACTCGGCGAATGGGCACGATTCGCCAGTGCAACAAGCTAGAGAGGTTGGGGGGCGTTGCACTTTGACGGAGTGAATGAAGTCATCGCACCTCTATCTTTCATCCACCCCCCTGACAATACCGTGGCCTCTCCATTCGGTTGCACTAATTGGTAAATTTACTATCCCGTTGCAATGGACAGTGTCACCGATTATTCATAATTTGTTGACTTGTATGTGATGCCGACAACGTGTGCAGTGTGAATAGTCTGTACGACAGACAGTGTTTGTACATCTACCGTTAAGGACTATCCGTTGTGAACCGTTGTGCTATTTTTTTCCGCACATGCTAGGGGTATTAAGAGAGAATTGACCGATCTGGGTTGAATTAAAAATGTGCTGCTCAGCTCATAAATAAGTTTTTTTCCCTAGCGGTTTTAGCACCTAAAACATCATTGTTGGACGTTGCCTGACTCACGGTCTCTTACACATTGACGGAGCACATTTTTTGAACTAGCTACTTGAGGTTCGGAGAAGGAGCAAAATTAAATAGTAAACCTGCGCCGATTCGTGATCAGTACCACTGAAAAACATGAAAAATTAAAACTTATTTCTTTAACAAAGAAACAGCTCAGTTATCTGGCTTAATATAATAATAATAATAGATTTGTATAGCGCCATATCCATGGCTCATGGCGCTTTACAGTAAAAAATGTTATTAAAAATAAAATTAGAGGATGGCAACCGGCTTTCTCTATTCTATTTCTGTTGTAGTCATAATCTCCTATTTAAAGACACTCTTCACTACGTCTATGTGTCGCCTAATCTAGATCTACTTACATTGAACAATTGTACAATTCCGGTTGAACGCAAGTAAACTTCTAGGAAATGTTGCTCCGATGCGTCATCTACCTTCATCAAATAGCTTCCAGACTCATAACAATCCTGTTTTGCATTATTCCATGACTTTTCGCTTTCACTCGCTTTGTAGCAGGAAAACCCATTTGGAAACCATCCATCAGGACATGAAAGCTTGCCTAAAGGAAGGGAAGAGACCACTATGAAGTTTACATTACAAGCAGCAGTGGTGCGCACTTGAAGCAATGACATAACCGATAGATAAGATATTAAGGTTTAGTGAAGGTTGCTTTTTAACCCCATTTAGCCTGAACTTTTTTTTCGTGCGTTAGCCGTAAAATGCTGGCTTTGTAAAACTCCTTAAAATTATGCCGTTTTAAAACTCCTTAAAATGCTTGCTTTTTACGATTCCTTAAAATGTTGGCTTTTCAAGACTCGTAAAATGCATGATGGCTCAGTTTTTAAAACTCCTTAAAATGCTGAATTTTTATGACTCCTTTATTACAATGTTGGCTTTTTAAGTTGAAGAGAATCTTAAAAGTGTTCAAGTGAGCACACGTTCCAAAAGTTGCTTAAAAGCCCCGACGTAACGTATACTTACATAACGATATTCAGATGAACTGAATTACATAAGGGTAGTTTGTTATTTGCTATGACCATTTTATGTAGCATTCAGTTCCCAGCTACTGATAATGATCCAAAAGATTTATCCAAAACTCGAAACAGGTTCCAAACACCTTAACGTTCGTTATGAGTACCTGGTTAGGAAAATATATAAATGCTACAAACAAGAGATCATTACAAGCATGAATAATTCTACTGAACAAGCCATAAGAATCATTAAGCGATGAGCTCACCTTTAGGTCTCTCGCACATGTAGTAGTGATTCCTCGAGCAGGCCAGATCATTCCAGCCATTGTTGTAAAGTTCAACACAGTCTTCCTGGCCTGACCAGTCATTTGGTTCGCCATCACGCCAATTACTGTAAACAGAACCATTGAATGGTGTTCCATCGCTCCAAACAAATTCACGTTGTTTAATTCGGTCATTCAACCCAATCCACATACTGTAGCTGATGTATTCTGCATAGCGAAGCCTTATGAATTCCATTTCCCTTGCATTTTCTATACTAACGAGGTCTCCTCCATATCCTAAACACACTGCACGAGCATTATCCCAACTAAGACTTTGTGAATATACGAAGCTGGTCATCACTTTGTAGCAGGAATCGTCAAACTCATCCCAGCCTGGCGGGCAGTCCAGAACTAGAAACCCAAATAAAATGCACTAATGTGACTCATTATGCAAATCATTTCATTGTTTCCTTTTTTTTTTTGCTGTTGTTGTTGATCAGTCCGTGCGCAAAATATTGTTCTCCAAAATGTAAGTTTCATTTTGATCTCCAACAGTCATGCTATACTCATTATTAGCTATTTTCAAACTATTGAATAAATATCGTTTGGTTAAAATGTTTAACAAGCAAGGGCTTAGACTTGCCACAAGTCGACCTCATGAGTTTCAGGGTAGAATAGCTAAGCGAGCGAAGCGAGCTTCGATGTTTTAGGATGCGAAGGGGCCGAGCGAGCGACGAAGTCGCGAGAGGTCGGCGGGTACTAAATAAACACGACGAACGACTTCTCTTAAAGTCTACCAAGGGCTTATCAGAGTTTACTGGCGTGCACTCTCCAACGATCGACTACTCGATTAGTCGCGTCTTAGTCAGTTTATCTGGGGAAACTAAACGCCCCTTCAGCCTTGGCTAGCAAGGTCTTGCCTGGAATACTTAGAGTGGTTTTCAATTGTGTGTTATAAAACCAAAACCAAACCAATTACTTAGCAATTAGGCTCCTCACCCAATCTCAAAACCTAGTAAAACCAAAACCAAGGTAATTGCCTGACTACTTTCGACACTCAATTGAATATGGTTTCTCAAAGGTACCAAGGTAATCTTCACGAGGCTGAGGTAACATCGGTAACACGGAAAAAAAGTACTTTCCCCCGGGAAACCTGTACGATGCTCTCTTGTAACCACGGCTAATTTGAAACCCAGTTTCCTCAGATAGAGCGGTTTTCAACTTAGATTCGATTTCCGCCGCTCTCTCGAGTCCGGTCTATCGAACAGCGGCTGGTACTCGAGCCTGTTTTCACCTGAGTGTCGAAATTAATCAGGCAGTTACTTTAGTTTTCGTTTTACTATGGTTTAAGATTGGCTTTGTAGTCTAATTGGTGAGTAAATGGCTTTGGTTTTACGACACTCCATTAAAAACCACTCTAAACTCAACAAATTAAGGAAGTCGTTTCCTGAAGACTGCGTGCACGTACGTGTGGGTGATATATGTCATAAATTAATTTGTTAATCAATCTATTGTCAGGAGTAGTGCAGGTGTATGATAATGAGAATATTTTCTTCGTCTTCTCGTTTTTTTTTCTTAATAAAGAGAAACATTACCGAACCTAATCACCCGCCACAGCTGTATTTGTAAAACCAAACACTGAAAACATCTCTTGAATGGAAAGATTATGTCTTGAAAACATTCAGCTGTACGACCCCCTGGGTACGTGTAACCTTAAATAAATACCAAGGTAAATTGAAACCCTTGCTAATTTTACCAAGGAGTAATAATCCTGGGAAAATCGTGCTTATATATATAACCATGACTAATAACCTGTTCATGAAACAATGAAAAGGTGCATTAAGTCCACATTAATTATTAATGCATTAATGTTTCTTTCACATGTAAATCACTTATCTTCAAAGGACCATTTTCGTAAATTGCTCAGACGATGTGAGTTCTTCGAATGGAAACGACATCCTACATTAGGAACGGAGATGTGGATTTCAAAGATTGTTAACGCGCCTCATTCGAAGAGGGCCCTGCGAATAAAGAATTTTGGCTCGGTCGGCTTTTGTTCCACTCCATTCCTGCAGTCGGTCATTTTGGTTTCCGTTCCGGTATTTAGTAACACTCAAAATAACCATTCGATTTCACACGTTAAGAACGCGCTCGCCTAGTGTATGTCATCTGAAAATTATTTCAACGCCGTAAAAAAGAAGCACACACGAAGGAAACATTAGTCTGCGTAGCAAGCGTTTCTGTGGGGTGCAGGAGCAAAGAATTACAGCGCGAAAAATGGAGCGAGTAAAAGAGGGGGGAGAGGGAGGGGAAGGAAGGAAGGAAACGTTTCCTTCCTTCCCCTCCCCCACCCCCTTCTTTGTTGTTGTTTTTTTTTTTTTGGCTCTCGCCCCATTTCCCGCACAGACAAAACACCGAAAATCCCGTCCCTCGGTCTTTTTTTGCTTCCAAACCCCACGGAAACGCTTGCTACGCAGGCTAAGGAAACATGCACCATCGGAATGATCTGATTTCCGTAAAGCGCTCACTTTCTATCTACATGTGGCTACCACTTAGTTTAACTAGTTTTCGAAGGAAAAGTTATTTCTATGACAGAAGCCGAGAGCTTGCTGAGAATTGCTGCACAATATACCTCCTGTGAGTATAGAGTCATGAAGTAGGCTCTCTAAAACGTCTCAAAACATTCGTCAAGAAAATACTTTATGATTAAACAACACTACCACGAGCGTAAACGTTTGGAAGTCAAAAATTCGATTGAAGAAGAGAGCGTGTTTTCGTAATCATGAAGATTGACAATGTATTACCAAATGTGGCGACAAGCAACTCTGTATAAAGTGGCAATCGCATGTTGCACGTGTGATGGATCTTGACGTGTTAATAGCCTTTTAGCCAATGGGAATTTTCCGTTTCTGAAGAAAAGGCGAATTCAGTTACTCGAAAGCGTCTATGTTTGAGAAAATAGACGACCTGTGAATGAACTTAGAGAAATACTTACAGATTATCTTGCTACCATGACCACACTTACTAAACATATCTTTTGTTAAAGGTTTCATAAGCTCACGTTGAATTGTTCGATTACTTCACGTGACAGCAAATACACGCACGGGTATATTTTGAATAGAAAAAAGGATAAATCGTTTTGTTATACGAATCGTCTTTCATTATTGAATGATATAAAATATTCTCTTACAAGATGTAGATGTTGTTGCCACCAAAAGAAGTAAAGCGATCCAGGTGATGGTCATCATCCTTTCAAGCAAAACACAAACACAACAGACATGTTGGATGTTGTGCTTTAACAGCATATAATAGAGAACCGCAAAATAAAGCCAGATGTCTTCCTTCAAACAATGCAAACCAGTAAACAATTAGGACAGACTGAATTAAAGCAATTTTCGCTCACGTCACCTCAGGTTATTATTCTTGATAATGATCGTCAAGACTTTATGATTTTTAGGACACTGTTTTTAATAATGATCACGATGACTCCATATTTGTTTTTTCTTTTGTATATGCTTTTGTCCGAACGCTACCGTAACCTTGTCCTCGTAGAACGCAATATATCTTCCTTGCACGCACATAACAGACGAATAGTTCATTCTGATTACTAACATTCGCATTCGAATCTGTTTTAGCTGAATTCATTTTTCTGTGCGCCAAGAAGAATAGGTAAAAATGGAATGTGATTAACCCGTCAGTCGAGATAAAGTGCGTAGATCTATGATGAAGTCTCAACAGGAGATTATAATAGAACTGACAGAATGTGCCAGAAACGTAGCCATGGTAACTGGATCACAAAGGCAAATGACAAAACAAACTGCTTTCATTCACCTAACAGGATAACAAGACATTACTAAAATGTTCTTATTTTCTGAATAAAAGTTATCGCCCTAAATTGGTCCAATTTTGAAAAGAAAATGGGTGCGCGGAAAAAATAATTGAGTGGAACAAATTTTATAACTCAAGCTGATTTTTCATCTACGCACTTCTTGAAATTAAGCCAAAAAAAAAAACGACGAATCGTAAGTTCTAAATTCAGTTTGCCTCAAGGCAGTTCTTCCAAATTAACAGACGAATAGGGTAATTAATGACGTCATATGACAAATATCTTAGAGCAGAAGAAAACTTTCATCTTTCTCAATGAAAAACCGAAAATCATCGGTTTTCTCTTCTTTTATATACATATAATAGCAGACAGAGCGGGTGAAGAATAAAAACGATAATTTATGTAGATGAAGTAGCGCGTAACTCCTTAATTACCCGTGTGAGGTAAGTTTGCAGTTCACCTGCAAATTGCCTCTTAAATATATCCTGCTTCAAAATTCTAACAAGACGCCGAGGTTCTCTGCTTATATTTAGTCTTGTGGTCTTTGCTTCAAGTCTCTTTTGGGGAAATGGTCGAAAATACATTGGGAATGTTAGAAACTTATAAATTATATGATACTTCGACGAAACCACAACTTTGTCAAAGAGAGAGAAAATAATTACCTCACTGCCAAGCTGCTTGAAAATTCAAATTTATCACCTTAGTTTCCTGGTGACCATTTAATAATATAACTGCAAAGTAAATGAAACTTACCAGCTGAAGCTATGGTTGCCACCAAAGGAAGCAAAGCCAGGAATCTCACCTTTACAGTCATCCTTTTCATTCGTCCAAAAGAAAACGACAAATATAAACGCGGATGTTGTTTTCTTGGCAAAGTAATTAATGATTCATCGAGTTTAAACACGGTCTTTTACTTAACAAACACGTAACTAATAAACAAAAAATGGCCAAGATGTCTAGCTCGCAGTTTGACATTTCTCACGGTATAATTGTTACAGAATATTGTATCTCTGAGTCTCTTGTCAAGGTATAATTTTATTTATCGTCACCGAGATGTGCCTGCTCCGCTCACTCTAAATATTCAATCTCCATTGTCCAATGACTCTTTAATACGTGTTTGACAGTTACTATAATCAGTAAAAAAAAAGAGCGAATGATTAAATATTACCGTATCAATTATTTCAGAAGCACAGAGCAATAACAGAGGGTCTTCAAGGGGGAAAGAAATTAACTTTTATCGTCCGGTGATGGTGGCGAATGAAAAGTTTAAAATGACAGTGGTAGTGGTGCGGTGATTTCACACCTTAGCATTGTCTAACCTTTCTATGTCTTAACGAGGGAAACTTTCGGTCAAGTGTTTCTCAAGAGTTTCGCCCTTCAATGGACGAGAAAAAGCAATGAAAAGAATCAAACTAAGATCACTAACTTTGGGAAAACAGTCATTTTTTTTTTTGCCATTTTAATTGCAGAATCGAGGTACTTTGCAAAAGTTCACCGACATTTCTTAAGGGCGTACATACCAAGAAACCAAACCTTCATAAACGGGCATTTTGCTGTGCTGCAGGGAAGAAAGGCAGGCATGCAATGCCAACAAGAATTCTTTAGCATTTTAAAACGACCCTTTATTAAAGCCAAAAGTTGTTCGTTTCTAACAAGAGGAAATCCCATCCTGCTGCGTTTCAAAATTGTACTTTGAAATACGCGCTCTATTTGTACAGCAGTCACATCCGCCTTGAAAATTGCCGCTAATAGCTTCATTTAGTAGTCAAATATAGTTGTGATTTCCCTGACATTTCTGTTCCTTGTTTGTGTAATATTCGTTTCCACGGGAGTTTGCCAGCTGGACATATAATCTTAAAAGAAACTTTATTTGTTCAATTCAAGAGTTAATTTTCCTTTGTTATTATTCAGTCAAACATTTCGGAAATAAGTAGAAATTTTAATTGAAGTTCCCTTTCTTTTTTTCTTTTTCTTCATGTTAAAATTTGAAATTATTTTTTGGAGTCTGCTTGCCTTGTTATGGATAGTTCCGTTCTTAATTATATAGTGCTTTGTGCTCTTTACGAGAACTATTTGCCATGTCCTAAGATGCAAACAACAAAGACTTGTACAATCATACATAAGCAAGTAACGCGGCATGGTTACCTCGTCATGATCAAGTCGACGATTACCAACGACGTTATAATAAAGTGCTGTTGCAACTATTATCGGTCTTGTCTTTGAGGTTCGTAAGTCACATTGGCGAAGCCGGGGATCCTGTAGTACCAAGATGTCGTGTCGAGTTTCCGTTCCCGGAACTCTGAGCCAAGTGGTGCTTTCCAAAGTCAATTTCCCCAACGCTTAGAATGTATCCCGCTCAGTAAAGTTCAAATTAAGTCCCTTTTCGAGAAATCTATTGGTTCAGTAGTGGTGCAAAAGCTATCATTACATATGCTCCAATCAAGCGATAACTCTCTACAAAAGACAGGCTGAATATTGGACTGATCTCATGGCCTGAAGAGATTTTAAGACGTACAATTTCCATTTCCTGCTAGACATCAATGACAATGTTATGCAAATCCTTATGCTTGGATGAAGGGACGGCAACTGCGAACAGGAAATAAGTGGAACTGACGTACAGTGAAAATTAAAGAAACATGGGATTAAGTTGAAAAATTAATTCAAATCAGTTGTCATTGAAATGACTGAAGCAGAGACCTGTTAATTAACATTGAAGGCAAAGAGGAGGGCCCTTCAAATACAAAACCACTATCTATGAGCAACATCAACTAGCCCGCGATTTGCAGTCACCAATTGGTGAGTTATTAATGACACACTTTTTACATAGTGCAGCAATCTGGGAAAGGAGCCAAATTAGCCTTATTCTTTTCATTGTGGGCAAAGACTTCATATCCAGGTTGTATTATTAAAATGACTCTGCGGTTGACAAACAAGGCAAATTATACATCCGTATTATGGTTTTTAGTCTGCATTATCTAAAATGTTTCGAGACACCGCGTTGCTAAGGGATACTGTATTTCGTAAACTGGACTGGACTGGATTAGTAAAACACGAATTAGTAAAAGGAGGATTAGCAGTAAAACATGAACTAGTAAGAAAGTAAAACGCGCAAAATTGATTGTCTTTATTGACACAATCATCTCTTATCCAAAGAATGTCAAATATTTTGAATCAGCTGTATTACATTTCTATCAGAAACAGAAACATATAAAGGTATTAAGTAGGTACATAGGAAACTGCAAGTATTGAACCAACAATTTGCACTCGGAAAAAGCCTTACAAAGATCTTTCCCTCAGACCCCCTGAACAATGTTCAAGTCTAAACTGTAGTAGATTCATAATTATGACTCGTTTGACTTGTGACATCCAACACTACAAACAAATCTTGCGTTATTTAAAAAAAATAAGAATTAATTTGGTTGCATCAAATCTTCAGATTCTAAAGTTTATGTGGACAGCCTAAAATATTGTTTTTTACGCAATATTTCTGATTTTCATACTTTTTTTTTCTCGTTTGCTTTCTGTCACACAGAATGTCAGCTGGGGAGCGTTTAGCTTTAAATACGCTTTTTACCTTCTGGGAAAGGAACAATTTCCATTTCAGCAACAATTTTAACAGCTTTTAACATTGCGTTTTACTAATCCAGTCCAGTCTAGTCCTTGAATTACATTATGTATGGTTATTGACCAAGTGTGAGGTCAAGATGACTGGATATTGGCCAAGTTCTTTGATTTTTTTGCGTGTTTATGGACCGAGACGGAGTCGAGGTAAGATAACTCCAAGATAGCTCCGTCTTGCCCGCTCGGGTAGCCACTCAGAGGGTTCCCAATAGGTTTGGCGGAATGCGGGATTTGGCTTTTTTTCGCCGTGATATTTGGGATTTGAGCTGAAAACAGGGGCGGGAAGCGGGAATTACAATTACGAGTGGGAGCGGGATTTCATGTTTTTATGGGGTTGGGATGCGGGATTCGCAAGGGGAACAGAGCGGGATACGGGATTTCAATTCCTACGTGACCTCGTAAATTTTTATTGACCAGCGCAAAAACCACAAGCTAGCAGAAACGAACCTTTTGTACGTATAGCTGTGTCAGGTTTCAAGTAATGAATAGCAATTAACGGCTCTGCACCCTTTTCAGGTTCTGTTAAACGTATCTATTATCGCTTGACTACGTTAGTATCATGAGACTGTAGGAGGTCTTTGAGTCCTATTGCGATCATTTGTGTAGCCTGCGTAGCTTGGCGCTTTTTAAGAGGCGAAGCCGCACTGTAACGAGCGCCAAGGCTGCGTTAAAAAAAATGCTTAAACCGCCAAGCTACGCAGGCTATCATTTGTGCTTACCTCTGACATCAATGACATCTGTCCATTCCGACATTTTCGATGTTTGGGTCTGTAATCCCCCCGATCATTTCTCCTTTTTCTAGTCTTTCGACCTTTTCCAGAGCGCATGGCTTGTTTTGGCCAGGATGACCTCACCGAATGGCGGTGATAGTGATTTCCCGAACGAAGTACGCGGCATTACGAATTCCGTCATCATATATTACGAAAAGGATGTTCGAGCAGGATTGCCTTCATTCGGAAAGAAAAGTTCTGAGCCCAGATTTCAAGGAAAGTGAAGACGCTGAAAGCTTTAAAAGAAACTGTCAAGTGCGTTTATCGGCCATCTCTTGAATATGGGAATGAACAATCTTTTTCTTTCACTGATACGCGAACAAAAGAAAACAAAACAGTAAACCGTTTACAGAACGAGACGTTAGAATCATTTCTGCTTACTTATCTGCTACCCATTGAATTCTTTTTTGATATTTTATGCGATATCTATTTTTAAAAAGTTTCTGTGTTAATGATTAAACTAATTATTAATGTAACAAATTAATCATTAACGCAGAAACGTCTTTTCAAAGTGGGCGGGATCGGGATTCCCAGGCTAAAAAGAGCGGGATGGCGGGATTATCAGGAAAAAATGGGCGGGAAAGCGGGATCTGAGAACCCTATTGTGGACCCTCCACTCACAGCGCAGGATTTGATTCATCTTGCCTAAGTCAAGTCCAGTCCAGTGATATTTTTCAGAGTAAAGCTAAAATGCGCAGGGCATGGTGCCTAGAACGTAAACTGACTAGCCAACATGGCGGACATATTATGACGATGTGGGCGAACTTTTCGTCTTTGATTGTTCAACTTCTACGAATATTATCAAATTGTTTTCCCCGTACAATACTTCACTCAATCGTTCGACTTCTTCCATATTTCGTTCTTGGGAGCATTTGTTATGGATTTGATATCATTTTTACGTCAGTTCAAGACAGGTTTTATCTCAAAGCTGTTGTTGACAATACTGCTCATGGAATCATTGCTCTTGTCAGCTGGTGTATAATAAGTGAGATTCAAACTCGGAAAGATCTGATCGATGCGATCGTGTGTGGCGTCATAGCTTTTGGTATAGATGTAGATCATTTCATTGCTGCTAGGTCGTTTAAATTACAGGTAAGATATTCAAAATTCACCGTGTTATCCAAGTTATGGTATTTAAATATTGACTACAAATTCTACACAAATTCTAAAATTTCATCACAATGGAAGTTAAAGATTAAAAAAGGCCAATGCCCTTTCCTGGGTTTCCATACCACCATAAATCCCTGATTGTTTAAACACCAATCCAAAATCTTTTAGATGAAGTTGCACGCAGTTATTAGTAGTGAGATACACATTATGTTCAAATTTTTCACTATCATGCTAATGTTCGATGCTCAGAGAATCTCACTTTTATGCTCAGAAGGCGTCCCTATTATGCTCCATTATACTCACATAAAAAAAAAAAATGATGTTTTCCCTTAATGCTTATTTTATTCCCGGCTTGCCCAATCGATGAAAACTGATAATCGATATAATCAATATTTAGCTCTTATTAACCGAGCTGGAGGTCTGTATGGGAGAATCTTGACCGAGGTCATGAGTACAGACCGAACGCAGTGAGCTTATTATATGGCAAAGAAGAAAACTTTAATTCGTTTAATGTAACTGGTTTGCTGACATTTTGCTTGCGAACGGTGATGAGCTTAACTTAAACCCGCCGAAATTTGCTCGTCCTCTTTACTTTTTCTTTTTTGTCATCGGGCTTTTTGGCACTTTCATAAATGATTGAGAAGAAAATAAAAGAAAATGGTGAACATTTTTGTATTTTAGTTTGCTACTTTGTCAACGCAAAATGAAACCGGTCTAGCTAGATGCCGGTCTAGATGGGAAAATCTAGACCACGGTCAATATTGATTTCAGTCTATAATATTCGTGATTCGGTAGTTCCCAGTCTTTGTGAGATGCAGCCATATAATAACAATCAATATAAACAATGAAAATCAATGATGAAGAAAGTTGTGAGTATCGATACCCCTAAGCAAGTCAACCAGCATCCCCAACCTTTTCATATGGGGTCCCTCCAGGCATGGCACATGCTGCTAGGTAGTATTTAGTTGTAGCCTGCGAGCAGGCTCTCGTGCATTGCAGCAGGAGCAAAGTCAATGAGAAAAGTCGCGAGAGATGAGTCAGTGAGTGAAGCAAGTCAGTGAGGGGCCTGGCACGAGAAATGAGTGACTCTCATTTTCACCAGCTGGCTTCACTTGCCCACTTGTGCCAGGCCCCTTCACTTCACTCACCAATGGCTTTGTTCATAATGGCTTTTTGCTCAAAGATGGCTTTGCTCTTGCTGCCAATGATGAGAGCCTGCTGGTAGGCTAATTTAGTTGTTAAATGTAGATCAAACTCATGGGTAAGGAAAACATAAATTATTCCACTTTTGGCAAGGTTCTGTAGATCATTGTGTACCATATGTATTCGTAATGTTAAAATGCTTACTCAAGTGCAATTAATGTGTAGTTCACCTTAACTGAGCTGTACTGTAGCTAGACAAATTCAAGATTAATTTTAGCTCAACATCTTCAGCTTGCCGTAATTTGAAAATTTGTAAAATAATTTAACAGTTTCAGTTCAGGAAAAAGCAAAGCCCAGTCTTTGTATTTGAGAATTGCTAAAATGTGCAATGTAAATAATTGCTCTGTTGTTTTTTCAGGATGCCCTTCATCTCAGCAGGAGACCATTTCTTCATGCGACAACAGTTGTCTTCATTGTGGTGCCAATACTGCAAGTGTGGTTTGCACAAAACATTTCATTTCTTCGATCTCTGCCATACATGTTTGTTGTAGCTGTTATTTCACACCACTTACGTGACGGGACCAGGCGTGGCTTATGGTTTTGGCCTTTTGGTAGTACACCACCTTTGCCGTACTGGCTGTACATAAGCTGTACTGTAGCCTTACCCTTCTTTATGAAGGAAATGAAACGTTCCTTAGACAAGATCGTTGTTATTCCTATATCAAGGCAAAACTCTGTTTTGGTGGATGTGTGAAAAAACGTTGATAAGATCATAATTAAATAAAGACCTATAAACTTTCCTCAATCTTCTTCGTCTATTCAGAGCCTTTTTTCTCCATTGAAAAGCGAGCGCACGAAAATGAGCGGGAAGCGCGAGAACGGTCGCGGAGCGGACGAATTTTTGCCCCGTCCACAATACGTCGAAGGAATTTGAAAACAGAGGTTTCACTCTAAAAACGCATCGAATGTTTTCCGTTCACACTACGCCTGAGGAATTTAAAAACCCAACAATAACCGATCATTTTGGATTTGTGTCAGAGGAAAACCCAATCAGGGAAATCACATAATTGTCGTGACGCCATCGTTTTCACAAAGCTCCATTTTAAAAATGTTTTCCGTTCACACGAAAACGAAAAGCCAGCGTTTTCAAATTCCTCCGGTTTGAAGAGTGTTTTCGAAAAGCTCCGCTTTTTCATACAAATTTCTCTGGCTTAGTGTGAAGGCTGCGTTAGATATGCCGAGATTCTCGTGCGTTTTCCTTATTTCATGGTCAATAGCAAGACATTGCTCTTGACCATACGCGCAGGTTTAACTTTTTGGAACCAGCGACATGTTGCCGCAACAAAATGTTGCTTTGAAAGTCGTCCAACGCCCAATGCTACACGATATTGATTTTCAATACAATTTCAGTGTTTGCGTTAAGTCTTAACACCACCTAATTAAATATAACGCTACCACCTTTGGGCCATAAAATCGAGGTCACGTACATTGAAGGGGTTCTTGAAAAAGAAATCGATCCCCTAGCGTTTTCATTTATTTTCCTTTTGTTGTTGTTGTTGTTGGTTGTTTCATTCTTTTTTTCATGCCAAATCATGTGACCGCAATAATGAGATGGTTTGGTCATCATCTGCTAAGTGCATCTCAGTGTATACACCCAGCTAATAAATCTTAAAGTGGGAGGCGCGGTGGCCTCATGGTTAGTGCGCTCGACTCCGGAGCGAGCGGTCCGGGTTCGAGCCCTGCCCGGGGACATTGTGTTGTGTTCTTGGGCAAGACAATTTATTCTCACTGTGCCTCTCTTCACCCAGGTGTTTAAATGGATACCGGCGAATTTAATGCTAGGGGTAACTAGCATCCCATCCAGGGGGGAATACAAATACTCCTCGTCATTTCATGCTACAGAAACCGGAATAGGCTCCTGCCTGATGGGCCACTTGGCTCGTATGCAAACTTTACCTTACCTTTAATAAATCTTAAAGAGTTGTAAGCCTGCCAAAAGTTTAAGTTAGCCATGCAGGGTTCGTACACGAATTTGTAGACATAATTCGACTTTTGCCAAACAAATTTTTCTTTTACAAAACGCAAGGTTTGGATCTCAGTCAAATCACACTTCATAAAAGCATAAACTGAAAACGCACAGTAACTACAATGTAATGCGGAAACACGATGGGGGAAGGGAGGTTCGGGGTTTTCGGTGGAACCCCCTCAGTTAAAAAAAAAGGAGGCATAACGCGCTGACTTGGCCTCAGCATGCTAGAAATCCCATTTCCGAGGACCACAAATTGAACAATTTTCCAGGGGAGGATGTCCCCGGAACCCCCCACCGGGGTCCGCCTTAGGTGGTCCGTATCTTGAACCCCCTTCTCTAAAATCCTGTATCCGCCCCAGACTCCGAGACGTTTTTTAACTTTATTTTTCTCTGACTTTATCCTTATCTTTTCCGTACTTCTTCCAGTTCTGGAAATGTAGGACCATGCATGTAGCACTGCGAGTTCACTACTAACGCTGACACTCAAATCGTCTGCTTCACAATCTTGCTTCAGCAGTTAATTTACCTCGACGAGCTCAAGTTGATATGTAAACTACATGGTTTCTCAACGCGCCCTAACCCAAGCATGATAATGCAAATTTTATTTTCCATATCCAGTCGTGAGCCTGATTCAGTTGGTTGGAAATCTTGTTTCGAGTCAGCTGAAGGGAAACCCATCACTGATCTCAACAATAAACATGATAAAAAGGTTTCTCTGTATAATGAGCATTTCGCGATGAACATGACATTTTACAGCAAAGAATAGCTTGACTGGTTAAGTTACTTTATTTCGATCGGAGGCTGTCGCATGACTCTACAGTCCTCGCCAAAATGGTTTGGGACATTTCTCTTTTTTCTCGAAGATCTTTCTCGCACACCCCCTGAACAATGTAAACTCTGGTAGATTTACGAGTTTGACTCTTGACATCCAACACTGTCCAGGGGAAGCGGGGCAGACCGAATTGCTGTTTTTATGGAAAAGTGGCAGCGTTCTTAACGTTTTGGCCAGGATTGTAGTCTGCTAATAAAGAGACCTCTCACCGCTTCTGACCCTCCGGCAACCAGCCAGGAGTGATATGAGGTGGCTGTCTCAACCTAACTCGTTCTCAGGGTGCAGGACGAAAGAGCCTAGGAACGAGTTTGTTTGTCATCTTGTACCACAATCTCGAGCCCAGAGTCTTACCACTTAGGTCTGCAGTTGGGCCGCGACTTAACGGCTGACCGAGCTGGAGAGAAGCTGGACTTGAAATTTCTTGTACCATTGGACGGTTTGTTTCAGATGGCCATTACTTTGTTTCACATTTATCAGATATAGTGCACTTTAAACAAAACACATGCAGTACATGATAATGGCGTTTTATTCAGCTAGGTGGTAGTGGTGGAGCAGTTGGAAATGATTACTCTATCGTAATTAATGTACCGAACAAGTTGGAGCTACTTAAATGAAAAAGAAAAAAAAAACTTGCTATGTATAGCACCTTTATAATTGATATTTGCTAATTAGTTTGCAGAATTTTAATAGTAAAATATCTCATTTTCCTCAAGTACATATCCTAACTACTTTAACACTTAAAAGATAAATTAGCGATAACCCTGTAAATGACTTCATTGCGAATTTATTTGATTGTACAATTCTTCTGGAATGCATTTAAATGCTCCACTAAGTTTTGTACTCTGTTGATTACTCTGTTGTGAGGCACATACGCAGTGTTTTGGGACTGAACCGTGGGCCCGGGGATTCATGGCCAACGTTGTTTGGACAGTGCCCCTCCGCCCCTGCCCCCCAGCGCGCGCCTGTCCCTTCCTCCCCTGGGCTCATGGCTGGAGTGTAGGGTTATATAGGCCAGGGAAAGTTATGCAGTCTAGGGGTTACCTGCCCAAAGTGGAGGCCTACGGATTTTCCCGCCAACCAATACACTGTTTGCACCGAGAGCCAATATTAACAAATTGAAGACTAACTAGAGAAATTAGTTGTTGATGATCGTTGTCGGTGAACCAAAGAACGACTTATACTACTGTCTACTGAGGAACAAAAGAAAATCCACCTTTTTGAAAAATAATTTGAGAAACCTCGACACGACAACGCAGACACATATGAAACTTCATTCACAAGTCGTGAAATCAACATTTTGTCACACAAGACTGCTGTCAAACTGTATTTCCGGAAGATCTCTTTTCTTTTTTTTCCCAGAGAAAAAGAACCATCCATTATCGTGTATATTAGATACTGAATTTGACCATCACTGTTATGGGCAGTTGCTGATGTTTCCGAGGTGAATCCTTACTTTAGGAAACGCAATGCCAGTGTATTCAACGTTCTTATAAAAATGAGATTTGAAATAAAAATAAAAGCACTGTCTAAAAAGTATAACATGGCACTGAAAACAGTAACAAAATGGAACCTTTTGAATTTACTTTTCAGCCGACACTGAGCTGTTGTTCTCATCTCAGAGAATGTTAGGGCTGCCACTGAGAAGGTGGCAAAGTTACAAAGTCAACCACAATGCTACTTCACAGTAATTTTTCATGCTTTAAGCCAATCAAAACACAGAATGCTTATAATTGTCCTTGGTCAATCGTGTATTAAGCCAAATTTACATGGACTTTTAGGCACTTACAGCTACACCCCACACTACGAGATCATGCTAAAATTCCTGAATACAGTCGAACCTCCGGTTGCGACCACCTCTCGTAAGCAACGTCTCCTCAGCGACCAGTCTCCCAAAATAATAAAATTTTCCAAGTCAAATCACTATATTTGGAACCTCTTATAAGCGACCACCTCTCGTAAGCGACCGTGATCACTTTTACAGCTGAAAGTTCGAAAAATTCTTTTGTTTTTAACCTCCCGTGAGCGACCTCTTGACAGATAATAGAGCGGAAATTGGATAATAAGGTGTTGTAACATTATCGCATTCCTGAGTAGTACAAGAAGCGGAAATTTTTTCAATGGGAAGTACCAGATTTTTCTCCAAATTGACTTTTCATATGAAGACAACTTTTAAAACATGGGTTAAAGATAACTGCACAGTATATGTTAACTGCAGTTAACATATGCTAATGAGGCAAAATTTTCACCCAATATGGTCTATGCACTCGTGAGCGACCACCTAGGCTTGAAATTTTGGATGGTCGCTTACGGATGGTTCGACTGTAGTATAATTTGTATTGCACTCAGCATTAGCAGCCACCATGTTTGGTTTTGTGATAACTTTGCTCTTAATCAAACTAAACTGCACTAATGCACGCTAACATACCGATAACCTTACTTATTTAAAGCACAGTGCAGACAGATCTTGATCTACACATGGTCCCTAAACCAACTTTGACACTGATCGTGAGCCATAACTCGACTGCGGTTTTCCATCCGTCAGGAGATTCTCTCGTTCCTCGCTGGGCTCACTAGACTGGCTCAATACGCGGCGCAATGGTTGTTTTGATTTTCTGCGCTGTCTCCGGCGTCGACGGTTCCGGACGTCTTCCAAGGTCCCCTCATCGGGAGGAGGAGGCAGATTTTGGTCATCAAATGCCCACACCCTGTGCAACGTGCCACGCCTCCAAGGAGCACGTGCAATCACGTGGCAAAACGTCACACCCCTGTGCCATAGCAAAGTCAAAAACTGTATAACTATGAGAAAGCCGTAGATGACGAGAAAAGAAAAACCCAGGAAATTGGTTCCCATGACCTGCAGGTGTTGCTGGCTGAGAAGAGCCATTATCAGGATTATCCAAATAGCGTTTGCCATCGCAAACACCATCAGAGTCTCGTTACGGAGATCTTCAAGCTTCTCTTTTAATTCTTCAACTGCCCCAAACACGGCTGACTCCGGTACAAGACAGGCTTGCCGCAGACCTGTGTGTAAAATCAACAAAGTCGAAAAAGCTGCGATGTCAGTTACATGTAGAAGAAACCTCCATTTAATAACATCTTTTTTTTTCACTTCGAAAAGTCAAATTTGTTATTTATCTATCTGCTTTTAAATGATGCGAACTTAACTCTACACTCCATACTCTATCTGCAGGTGACACATTGTCATCTACATTACATCTCATTCCAGTCCCTGCATAGCAACCCATGTACGCACAACAGACAATCACCCTATGGCTTCGTGCCGCTCAGTTTTTAAGACGGAAAGCATAGCGCAGAAACGATGGGTTGAAATCTTTCGATCCTGACTTTTTTTACGAATACAAGAGGGGTAGCTCGGTGACGGTATTTTCAGTTATTTTGGTTACGTACAAAATTACCTTTAAAATAAAGGAAACCTCAATATGGTAGCTTACTAAGATAGAAAAACATCAAAGAGATAATAATAAACCACAAACGAACAAGGATAGTGAAAGATTGAGAAGGTTAACACGGATTACAATGGACGAACTTGAAAAATTTAGGCTGTACTTTTCAAGATGCGCAAGCCGTGACGTAGTTTCATTACGGTGTTCGATCCAGCTTTCAAGATTGCTGTCTATCAAACAACAACTTCGCTGTCACAATTCTAAGTTGATCTAGAAACTTAACATGTATCTTCTTTTACAGAAAACTACCTCATGATCGTACAGAAATTGTGGGATAACCTGGAACGCCGGTCTAAAATTGCCTGTGATTAATCAGAAATCTAAATTAACACTTGACAAGATACAGTCATCACATGGCCAAATTCCACCATTAACCTTTCAGAAATCGGGAGGAAGAACGTTTCTGCATACAAACACAAAAACGCACAAGCGTTTTGTTTTACTTTGCAATAGACCATTTTACAGTTATCTGCTCAGTGAACTAGCCACTGGATGGCAGCGAGGCTGGAGTTGACCTTGTTTTGATTAAGATCTCAATGCTTTTGTTGTGTAAGTCAAGTTGTTCTTATGCTAACTCTCACTCACTCATCCTCTTCGCTTCTTCATGAGTGGAGCATAAGGCCACTAGTTGGCATTTAAATGAAAAAGCAGAGAGGTCTGTATCAAAGCAACGTCACCTCCAGCCTTGGTTGCATTCATAGGCCAGGAAAATTTACACACAACTGTTAACTGGCCTATTGTTCTTTGGGATTTTCAGATGAGAACGAAAGGTGACACCAATGGATTATCATAGTCAAATTCAGCCATCTCCCAGACTGATGGAAAACTAGAAAAGAGCACAACAACAGAAACTCGTTATTTACAAATACCTTCCCAAAACTGATATTCATGTCCAAGGTCTTGGTTATCCACCTTTAAATCCATGACCACCAATTTGCTTGTTTCTTCGCGTGCCCGACGAATTCTTCTCTGAGCTGAGAGATGTAGAAATTGTTATTTAATGTATTTATTTAGTAATTTCACATTTTGTACAGTTATAACGTGCTTTAAAACGACTTGAAAAAGGTAAGAACAGATTTTTCAGTGCTAAGCATTTCAGTTCCAAAATAATTCCTCTTCTAAGCTCATTGATTGGCAGTTATGGAACCATCCGTTCCGGAAGAATATTCTTTATTCCCCAGTCAGAAGTCCCCGACAACCTCTACAACATGAAGTGTTGTAGGCCCCAAAAGACCCCAGCTGGGGATTGGAGCTAGTGTTCCGGTGTTTTCAACACAGCAAGTAAAATCGCTTTTCAAACTCGTATTTAAGCAATCCTAGTGAATCTGAACTATTTACTAGCATGCCGACATGGAACAGAATGTTACCCCATGCAAGTTATTCTGACTGTTATTCTGGCCTGATAGTCTTGATTTCCTTACACCCTTTCCTTAGGATAAGACAAGCTAGATGGCTCCTAGCTCACGGGACTTATCTCTATTGGTAATCCACCTAACCCCCTCTGGATGGGTTGCTACTCCATCGCAGCCAACTGCTAAATTTTGCCGTGTTATCGGAATAATTCCCACATTCTCGTCCCCAGATGCTGCAATCCTTTTGTTCTTCGTGCTGATCAAAAGGATTGCAGCCTCTGGAGACAAGAATGAATTCCTCAGTACCCAACCTGGCCCCGAGGCTTAGGGGAATAAAACAAAATAAATTATTTATTCATCTTACATCCTCGATGTGATTTTTTGTTTTGTTTTGTTTTGTTTTGTTTTGCTTTGCTTTGCTTTGCTTTGCTTTGCTGTGCTGTGCTGTGCTGTGCTGTGCTGTGCTGTGCTGTGCTGTGCTGTGCTGTGCTGTGCTGTGCTGTGCTTTGCTTTGCTTTGCTTTTTGTTTTGTTTTGTTTTTGTTTCACCTAAGCTTCGGAGCCAAGTTAGAATTTTAATATATCGAAAATGGCGTATTATGCACCTGGGTGGAAAAAAAAAACACTTTGAGAGTTAGTAAAGCGTGTTGTGCAAGGAAACAACCAAAAAACCCGCCAGTCCGTCAACTCATACTCCCTAGTGAGGAGTGCTCTGCACTTACCATCAGTGTCATATGGCTATCAGGATAACAGAAACCTACCTTCACTTGGGTACTGTACTCTCTGTATGGCCTTGTACATCTTATCTAAGTGTCCCGGTTTGATGATTCTGAAGGTCTCTTTCAGTGTTTCCTTGTTCATTATTTTTAGATCTTCTAGCATTCTTGGCTCTGTGTAGCCACTCTGAGTAAAGTTCTCCCAGTATTCATCAAGACCCAGTTCAGTTAACCAGTCTTCGACATTTTCCTAACCAAACAAAGCCACAAGAAATGTCTGGTCACTCGGATGAGTTCATATCTTCACCACAATCAAATAAATATGATGTATGGTTAAACCTCTAATTCTTGTTGAAGGCCTTCTTCATTTTTCACCTCCTACAAGAATTGAGCCTAAACTTTGGGACACAAACTCCTGTGCCTGCAAAATGTACTATCTGATACCTGTATTATATACCTGTATTAAAGGAACACATCTAGTGAGGGGAAACCACAATTTGTAGTTGGTATTGTAAGGAGAAAACCACCATGGTTCACGTTTTTTTTGGGGGGGACACTTTTTTTTCGGGGGGGGGGAAGGGAAGTCACGCCTTCCAGTCCCAAAGACAACATGCAGGATGCCTAAAATCAGTAACATGACTTACCGGCACTTCCTGTGGAATTTCTACTTGAGGGAGCTTCTCAATTTCAATCAGCAGCCTCTTTCGGTGACCACGTTTCTCAATGCCAATGGCTTTTAAGTGCTGTTTGGTTGGAAACGATATTCAGCATGACAGTATGACAATCTTTAAGACACAAGCAGCTTGAGAAATAGTTAAGTTTTAAACAAATCACATTGTATCATCGAAGACAGCACAAATGGAACTCTTGCCGTTCTCGTTTTAGACATTTTGACTGAAGTAAGAATATCTGCATTTGCTATGAATTGGAACATTTTTTCGCTCTTGTGTGAGATTCACTAAGGATTAGAGGAGACGAACACAAAATCAGAGGCAACTTTTCACGGTTTTTCTTGTTTTTTTTTTTAATCAACGGCTTAAACTGAGGGAAACGTAACCATTTTTGTTTTTACTTTAGCATTCTCTCAAATGTCCCCTAGCTTGAAGCCAAAGAGAACATTCCTCGAACAGAAAGAGCTAAAAACACAATTACTATTCCTGGAGCGAATACTAACCCTGTCTGTCATGCCAGCGATGAAGCTCACATTGTCATAGCCAGAGTCTCTGAAGTTGTTCAAGTACAGTTGCTGTAAAGAGAACGGAACAAAAAATAAGTATAGGCAATCACATGATTTCGAGGGCAATTTAGAACAAATAACCCCGTGCAAATTTTAAGAAGGCTAACAAATTCATCTTAGCGACAAATATTAGCCTGAGAAGGAAGTTTGAGGGCTCACATGTAGTTTTTTATACATAAAATTTCCTAGCAAACTACTAGGTTCCAAGCCCTTACCTGAAAATCCCTTTGAAGCCAGTCCTCCACTGGAGTTTCAGGATGCAGCCGGGGAAGTTTGGTTGCAAACGTAACCTTTTTGTCCCCAGGGTAACGGAATTTCATAAAACGTCCGCTAACCTCTTTTTGGCCTTCTACAAAGAAAAACAAACATATGCCACCATAACGAAACCAAACTCGTCTTATGAAGTCTTGGAAGCTCACAGCTCACTTCTCGAGGAAGACAACAGCTCAATATCCCCAAGTCAGTTACCTCGAATTCCCCGATACATGTATCTCAAACTCAAAGCATTTTCCCTTAGATTTGCTTTTTCAGATTTGATATCGCCTTTCTCAAAAGCCCCTGCCATCTCGAACTATTTCTGGTTTCCATTAGGGGTACGAGATGGACTCGAATAACGAAATAATCCAGAATAACGAGGAGAAAGACAAACAGAAATGAGCGTGCACAGTTAAGGTACCTGACGTAGTGCCGACAATGACCACTCAAAGATCAGTTCGAAACAGTGGGGAATTTATAATAAGCAAGGTCAATATAGATGATAGTTAATGACTGAAAAAGACAGGGCAAATAAATAAATAAATAAATAAATAAATAAATAAATAAATAAACAAACAAACAAACAAATAAATAAATATCAAATGATCTTTATGGAGGAAGCTCCCGTCACGTTGCGCGGTTTTCAGGGAGGAACTCAGTAACTAAGGTAAAATAGAGTAAAATAAAAAATAAAAACTAATCACAATCACATCCAAGTACTAATAAAATATGGAAAATCACCTTAATCTAAGGGCAATGCGTTTAGGTTCAAAATAACACGGAGCTCAAAAAAGCCGAGTTGGAATCAGCGGGGTCCAGCCCGGGGGTCCAGTGGGTGGCATTTGACGGATCACAATTTTTCTGACAACAACGCACAACTTCACTGTAACGCCAAAAAGATGTATCAATTAACAAGCACTTTTGTGCTTGTCTCCTTACAACACTGACCTCGAGTTAGAGACGGCTGCCGGCGTACTGGAGTGTGCTTCAGTGCTGACTTAGGCGGTGCCTCATCCAAGAGTTTAGTGGTATGGTCAGTGATACCAAATGAATCTGCATCACTCTCTTTACCAGGATCGTCTTCCTGAACAGAAACAACAGCGCCTTCATCTTCAGAAGGTTGCAAGCCACTGTCAGAGGTGGAATTCTCCTTGAATAAAACAAAACGGTTGAAGAATGATGCATTTTACACGAATTCTAGCAGTACACCAGCTTGTGCAGACACTGTACCAAATTTTGCAATAATCAATTTCTTTTTTTTTTTTTCTTTTTTTGATAAATCAACTTTTATTGTACAAATGTCTGATATCTAGTTACAATGATTGGGAATTAAGGTATCATCGTAGGTGGATTTACGAAAAATGCGAAAAATCTTTTTTTGGCAGTTCAAATTGAGAAGACTGAGATAAATATTTTGCAAAAAGAATGGGGGAAAGGGCTTTTTACTTTTTAACTTAAAGCAAAAAAACTATTTTTGAATATCATTAACCCCTTACAGCGCGTTGACACCTCTAATTAAAATTCACCGCCAGTTGTCACAAGTAACGCGAAATGCGGTGTGATATTTTATTTGTGCACGCGAACTGTTCCTGATCTGGTTGTTTCATCGCAAGTTGGCTTTCGTTCTTGTCAAATTTTCTTTATGTCAGGACGAAAAATTCTTGCCCATTTTCGTCTTCGAAGAGGTC